GTTTTGTCTAGGGATGTATCGAGGTCATCATATTTTGTGAACATCAAGGTATTTCATTTCACCCAAGGCTCATTTCTTGGCTTGAACTGGCCACTTTCTCAGTTTACAGGTGATACACAGATGTCTGTAAATACAATTTGTATACGATGACTTGGATTCATCCCTAGACACACCATAATAGACATTCCAATGGGCTCTTCTGCCATTTGAACCATTGACGGGTTTTTTACTTTCTCTCCAAGTCAGAACTACAATTGTCAGGAATGCATTCACCACTGGTGGTGGGACTCACCTGCCGTGTGGGCTGCAGTACCAGGGCTGGCCAGCGGGTGCTCTCAGCAAACCGTAGCTCACTCCTGCAATCAGCCATCACCTGAGGCTGATTGCAGGAGGTATAATTAAGGAATGGCCAGACCTGCAGTCAGTGCCTTGGTGTATTGTTTCCCATGAGCCCCTGTACTTGGTAACCTGTGTTCCTGCCTATCTGCCTAGTTGCTGACCCTGCTTTGATCCTGACCTCTGCTGACCGTCTCCTGTTTAACCCCTGGCTTGCCTGACCATCCTTCTGCCTGATCCTCTATACCGCGCTGCCCGTGAGTTTCTGAACCCGGCTTGTGACCCTGACTATTCTCTGCCTGCTCTTCCGGTACCTCGCTGCCCGCACGTTGCTGACCTGGCCTACCTGACTACGCCTGACGCTACCCAGACGATCCATCCATCCATCCTGCATGGATCTGTCCCTGTTACCAGGTCTTCCAGCCTCTTCACGTCAGGCTCCTTTCCCTGCACACCTCTGACGACGCTCTTTACCATTGCCGGACGTACTCAGGGGTCGCGACCTGGTCTCAGTCTGCTCCAAGTCCATCCCCACCATCAGGGGCCCTGATGAATAGGCAGATTGGGACTTAGACCCCGCGCCCTGTACAGTACCTAACGGCCTGCCTGACCATTCCACCTCTCCAGCCCTGACTACGCCTGTGTTCCCACACATTTCTGGTCATACCCGGATCCCTAACAACAATTTTCTTCCTAGGACTGTTAGTCTTTTTTCCTTTATATTCTAAAAAAAATGACAAAACAGTGGTTAATAAATACCAACAAAAGAAAGCTCTATCTGTTTCAAAAAGAGATAAAAAATTAATTTGAGTACAATGTTGCTTGACAGAGTAATTGTCAGTCAAATTATCACATCACTGAACATGCAAAATAATCTGATAATGGCCCTTTAAATAACCAGGAAGGCAAGAAGTAATGTCAGCTCTTAAATTTCTGATCACTGTGGGGCCTGAACACAGAGTGTGTCACAGTGACAGGAAGAGAAGGTACATATCCTTAATGAGGTACAAAGATCAATGAAAATCTGACTGCAGTTCTCACTCTGAAAAAAAGTATCAGTTTCTTGCTGGGCTTTAACCTATACCCATGTTCCTACCAGACTATGTACATAAAGCATTTATGTGTTCTTGACAGGCATTAAAACTTCACATTAAAGACACTGAAATTGCTGCTCCTCTCCACTTATTTACTCTGGTAGCAGAGAAGTGGCAGTCTGCCAGCCTTTTAATCTACACAGCGGGTAATGTAAGCTGTTGAGAAGGGATTCTAGAGTCTGTGTTGTGATCTTTGAGGATGAATTGCTCCAGAGTACCTGCAGCTACAGAGGTCAGAGAGGTCTTATTTTTAAGATTTAACTGCTTGTTAGGAACGTGTAAACAGTCTGGAAACAATCTGGGCACAGGTGCACTTTAAAGTCATGGACCATATGTTGAAATTTTATACACATTTTAATTTGAACTTTTTAAAAACTTCAATAGATCATTAAATAGTAACTTCATCCAGGATAGATTTTCTCATACTCTGGAGATGAGGTCTTCTACCTGTGGCACAACTGTGCCCAACCAAAATGTTTACAACCTAAATATATTTATACACTGCTCAAAAAAAATTAAAGGAACACTTTTTAATCAGAGTATAGCATCAAGTCAGTTAAACCCCTGGGATATTGATCTGGTCAGTTAAGTAGCAGAGGGGGTTGTTAATCAGTTTCAGCTGCTTTGCTGTTAATGAAATTAACAACAGGTGCACTAGATTGTCAACAATGAGACAACCCCCAAAACAGAAATGGTTTTACAAGAGGAGACCACTGACATTTCTTTCCCTACTCATCTTTACTGACTCTTTCACTAGTTTTGCATTTAGCTAGGGTCAGTGTCACTACTGGTAGCATGAAACAATACCTGGACCCTACAGAGGTTGCACAGGCAGTCCAGCACCTCCAGGATGACACATCATTATGTGCCATTGCTAGAAGGTTTGCTGTGTCTCCCAGCACAGTCTCAAGAGCATGGAGGAGATTCCACAAAACAGGCAGTTACTCTAGGAGAGCTGGACAGGGCTGTAGAAGGTCCTTAATCCATCAGCAGGACCTGTATCTGCTCCTTTGTGCAAGGAGGAACAGGATGAGCACTGCCAGAGCCCTACAAAATGACCTCCAGCAGGCGACTGGTGTGAATGTCTCTGACCAAACAATCAGAAACAGACTTCATGAGGGTGGCCTGAGGTCCTCTAGTGGGCCCTGTGCTCACTGCCAAGCACCATAGAGCTCAATTGGCATTTGCAAAATTGGCAGGTCTGCCACTTTTGCCCTGTGCTTTTCACAGATGAGAGCAGGTTCACCCTGAGCACATGTGACAGACTTGAAAGGTTCTGGAGAGGTCATGGAGAACATTATGATGCCTGTAACATCGTTCAGCATGACTGTTTTGGTGGTGGGTCAGTGATGGTCTAGGCAGGCATATCCATGGGGGGATGCACAGACCTCTACAGGCAAGACAATGGCACCCTGACTGTCATTAGGTATCGGGATGAAATCCTTGGACTCATTGTCAAACCTTACACTGGTGCAGGGGGTCCTGGGTTCCACCTGGTGCACAACAATGCCTAGCCTCATGTGGTGAGAGTATGCAGGCAGTTCCTGGAGGGTGAAGGAATTGATACCATTGAATGCCCCCCCCCCCCATTCGCCTGACCTAAATCCAATAGAACACCTCTGGGATATCATGTTTTGGTCCCTTCGATGCCGCCAAGTTGCACCTCAGACTGTCCAGGAGCTCTGTGATGCCCTGGTCCAGATCTGGGAGGAAATACCTCAGGACACCATCCGTCGTCTCATTAGGAGAATGTCCCAATGTTGTCAGGATTGCATACAAGCAAGTGAGGGCCATACAAACTACTGAGTACCATTTTCAGTTGCTGCAACTAAATTTCAGCAAAATGGACTAGCCTGCTGCATCATTTTTTCACATCAGTCCTCTGTAGGTTGATTTTCATTTCCATCAAACAATGGGGCATCCTTATGTTCCTAACACATTACCCAGTCCATATCAGTATAGATATCCAGTATGAGATTTCCCCTCACTGAGATCTGATGTGTTTTCAAAGTGTTACCTTTAATTTTTTTGAGCAGTGTATGTTCCTATGGAATTCTTCAATAAGATGAGTAACACAGTATTCTGTGTTTTGGGCCCTGTATTAGATTATTTAATCAAATAAAGAAATCATTTTCTCATACCAGCATTAATAGTAATTTGTCTAAAACATCAAACTTCATCTGTAACAGCTATAATGAAATCACTCATTCAGGCTCCCAGGCAGCAGTCAAGCCCTAGAAGAACATGAAACTCGGGCCCACTCCACCCAGAATGAGTAATCCCTTTTGGGTGGACTTGCTTTCCTGACTAGATGAATCTGTTAATCATGTTCAGCTGTGGCAGTAGATAAAACTCTCTAATTACTTGCAAGGAAAGAGCTGAGGTTGCTAGGAGCACAATCAATGCATTGCAGCTACTGAAACTGCTGACATGCCATCAAAGAATGACAGCTAAAACAGTGTTAAACAATCCACCGGGCGACATTACCGGGGTCACCTTTTCCGGGATGTTTCATGACAGCAAGAGATTGATCTTGTCCATGAACTTCTTTTTTAAGAATATTTACTTTGTTCTTTCAGTTTACAAAGGCTCTGCATATTGTGCTGTTTAAAGCTACCTTACTTATTAAAACTTTTTGTATCTATAGCAGCCCTGTACTTACATTAAGGCAAACATGGGGCAGTCCAGGTGGGTAAGGGTGGTGCATAAGCAGAGGTGACCTTTAGTGAAAACAGTGCATTATAAAGAATAATTAGATCAGGGGATATAGATAGCTGAAATTATGTACAAATCTTTACTAGTCCTATTAAACTCAAACTTGGTCCAACTTCCCACCTACCTCCCTATCCCCCTGGATAGTTTAGTGAGGTTGCTTATCATATTAAAGATTAAGTCCTCCTAGATCACTTCATGCTGGCCCATTTTGCAGGTATAGCTATGTAAAACATTAAAATAAGCGCCTATACTGTTTAAAATCCAGTAATACACTGTCTCAGCCTGCTCGGCACATGCTCAGTTGCTCTCTATTTTTGCTGACAGCATCTCCCTATGTCCATGTATATAAGGATCAGGGCCCTCCTATCCCTCTTGTATTGAACTGTATTGTTGCTGTATTGTCTCCCGTTATATTGTAAAGCGCTGAGTAAACTATTGGCGCTATATAAATCCTGTATAATAATAATAATTCACCTAGCTTGTCCCTATTCACCAAAGGGACAGGCAACTTCTTGTTCTGGGTCACACATTTCCCAATCAATGCCTTGCTATTCCCTCTGTTTTGTATCACAAATGTAATAAAACTTGTCTTCCCTTCACTACTCTGCCTGTTTGTGCCTATCAGATCTAATAACTGCACCTGTAGCAGTGCTGGATTTAGAGATTCAGAGATTGTGGGATATGTAGTTACTTTACTGGAAGTGTCAGTTCTTGGACTACAGATAGGGTCATGCTTTAACATGTGCAGTGTCACGACTCATGTCTCCTGTTCAGGGGTGAACTGAACATTTGGAAACTTGGGCAATGCCCGAGGGCCTGGGGTCAGTAGGGGGCCCCATGAGATGCCCCTGGTACCTTTTTCATAGGCTTTTTTGAGTTTGGGCAAGGACACAGGGGCCCCATGATCCCCTATTGCCCGGGGGCCCCATGGGTTGTCAGTCTGCCCCTGCTTATGTTTGATCACAAACAAAAATTGCTGAACAAAGTATATGAAAATTTAGTCTACTACTGACACCATGAAACTCCATTATCAATGTACATCTTATGCTGGTAAAAAGCAAGTTACAGGTAGGAAGGTTTATAATGTCTTTATATTGGTGGTTAGTGGAAATATGCCCCCTGACATTGGTGGTCAGTAGAAAAAAAAACTCTTACTTTTGGTAGTCAGTGAGATGCTCTGTTACATTGGTGATCAGTGGAGGAGGGAGCCCTTACATTGGTTGTTGGTGGAGAAAGGTGTTTTACACCGGTGATCAAGAAGAATCCTCCATTGTGGATGGCTGAAAATGTAATTGGTGCTATGGTAACTATTGGAGGCAGAAATTACTCATCGATCAATAAACTTCTGGAGCAGCCTTCTTAACCTTTTCAACACAAGAGAAACTCTTGAAAAAACTTTTTGGTTTCAGGGAACCCCTGCTAAAAATTATGATATCTACAATTCATGATACATTAGTGTGGCAGACAGCAAGAAGTAAGCGCCTTACATTTGTGAACATTGGGAAGAATTACCCCCTTACAGATAGCTAAAGAGATCAGTGGTGTCAGTGGGAACATATCTAAAAGGCCAAACTGCTGATCATTCAAGGAACCCCTAGCAATCTCTGGAAGAACCCTTGGATTCCATGGAACCCTGATTGATATACTGTGCACTGAAGGAACCCTGCTTGAGAAAGGCTGGTCTAGACACCCTATCAAAAGTTACTAAAATGTAGGGTTGTATCAACATGACATGCTCACTCCCCAAAATGTAGGGTGAAAGGATTAAATGGAATATAACTGAATCCATTTTGTATACACTAATACAAGATGCTAGTTTAATATATGTATATGAGATGTGTGCACACTAACAAAACTGTCTATCTCAGCTTCATGTAGAAATGAGTGTTTTTGCAAACCCTTACAAAAAAGCAGATAAGGTTTACTCTCACTTCTGAAAAGTTTTAACCACAAATTGGGTGTTAGGTCAGATTAAAGCCATGGTCTGGGCTTTAGAGGAGATATGGTATGATAGATAAAGCAGAAGAGTGAAAATGCAAACCTCATACAAATAATTGTTGAGTTAAGGTAAAACAATGTACATGTATCTGATTGGATGGTCTGAGGGTGTGTTTGCCTAAAGACTACAGTATAATAACCCTGACGTTATGCCAATAAAACTGAAGTGTCTGCAATCGCAACTGAGGTGATTTGAGTGCATTCACTTTCCGAGATCTCGTAGCTGTGTCCAGGTGTGACCGTTGGTATCTTGAGGGGGCCCCCAAGGAACAGGAAAAAGACCACCTACCTACTTTCATAGGGTAATCCTCTAACTTGAATAACACCATATATTAATAGTTTGAGGATAGACCATCAGACAGACAAGATAAATATGAGGATTATGGAGCTTTAACTACAAATAAACACATTTTTACTTTATTTTAGAAACCACTTTTTACAAAAATAGTACCTTCACCTACCACCACATTGAAGGATGACTGTCTCATGGTCTATCCCATCAATATAATAACATTTGGTCTAGACACACTGCCTTCTTCTTCAGCTAAGAATAAACACACACACTTGGTCTGGTCAAATCTTCATATTTATGGAAGGGTCACTTGAGACACATGCTTAATGGCAGTCAAACATAGTGTCCAGCCACCCTTTTTTTGTAGAGCCTTCACAAAAAGGCCTATGATATCTCTCCATGTTTGCAATTGCCTGTTCATTTCCTTCTGAGGTCACTTGTGGAAAAAATTGGCAGAGCATTTACAGCAAATTTGATTTTTTTTTTTCTGGAAATGATCACATTCATAGAAGTTAGCCTCTTATTTCTCTATGTGGTGCAGCTTCCATCTGTCCCACAAGGTAGCCATTTTTTGTGGCAAAAGCAACTTCCCTACATGTGAATTACTCTAGAATTAGACCAAAAAAGTCGAGGGCTGCTTAGAGGACTCACAAGACTTACCTGTCATGACATCACTGGTCTTGAAAAAAAAAGAGGTTTCACCGTTCTTGCATACTTAGGACATTACCGGATCAGCAACCTTGACAATATGTATTCGGTATTATAGGAATTTCTTGACCTGAAGCTAAATGGCCTAAAATGTTTCTTTGTTAATATAGAAGTTGCAGGGACCTGGGTTGGTCTTCAGATCCCCACCTATTGAGCCCTCAAGCCCCCTTGAATTCTAAGTCTAGGCTGTACATGAGTCCAGACTTCTACCCAAGTCAAGAATAATTCCTGCTGCCTCCTTGTACTCAGCACTTCCTTCTTTCCATTTCAGAAGTCAAATGCTGGAACACCAGTGTTTTTACCCCCCTTTCCTCTACTGATCCAGAGGCTGCAGCCAGGGGTGTACACATGCCATAACTGCGATGCTTTGCTTTGCAGGCATACTAGCAATTATACCCAGGGGCATATTTGCCACAAGGCAAACAAAGCATTTGCCTAGGGCAGCACTTGCCCCCCTGGAAGAAGGGACATATGCGGCATGGGGACCAGGTGGGATCCGAGAGAGGCTGTTGTCTGCTTGATGGTGGATGCAGAGCCTGACTGTTGTTCCCGGGGATGTCCAGAGCTGTGAAGGTGAGTTTCTTTCTCTCTGTCGCCGGCGAGGGGGTGGGTATTAGTGGAAGGCTCTCTCAGGTGGGGGTGAGGATGGGGCAGGGGTGTTGTTGGTCGCTGTTGGTCGCTTTCAGGCTCTCTCCGTGGGGGGGGGGTCTGGTGTTGGTCGGTGTTAGGCTCTGTCTGGAGGGGGGGCATCCGATTTTTGTGTTGCCTGGGGTAGCACAAAACCTAAATACACCACTGATTATACCCCCTATGTTTAAAGTGCAGGGCCCATTCAAATGTATGGTGCCACTATGCAAGCAATGCATGCATTTGCGAGGCTCTAGTGCAGGGTTTAAAGGGTTAAAGCAGGCAGTGAGGAGTTGATACAGTGCCTCCTCGCTGCCTGACAAATACTCTCTGAATTGCGATCTGAATGCTGATCATTCTTTAGACATCAAAGCATCTGTGAATGAGCCCTTAGCAGAGAGAACTCCGTAGTAAAAGCAAGGTTCCATATCCTGCATTTTATGAATGGGCTGCAAAAACAGGCCACAGTGTGGAGTAACTTAGTGGAGTATAGCAAAAACTGGATAGTGACATCCACTCCTCAAAACAAATCAAATCCATACACTACAGTCTGACAAGCGAGTATAATCTGTGAGCATATTTAATTTTTTGCAACTTGATCTGATGGAACCAATATTAGAAGCTGTGAAATTAAAAACGACCTAATTAAACAGCTTGCATGATTGCCGTGGCCTCCTATTTAAATGTGTCACTTTGTCTTTTCGGTAATTTAAATGCAGAAAAAGATTAAAAGTCTGAAGGAAACAACAAAGAGAATTCAGAGCTTCTTTGCTTATTTTAGCCAAATCTTTTACTGAGAATGTGAATGTGCTGTAATGTTTATCATGAGTTCTGAAGAACTGCAACGCCGGTAGGCTTGTTTATCTCTGTCATTGATACATTCAAAGGGAACTGTGAGCAACAAGTAGCCACGGGACGTTTTTCCAGCAGCTGTTTTTGGCTTTTGACATTTTTTTCTACAGTCAGTAAACTCCCCAGCATGTTATCCTATGTGTCCATGCACACATAGGCTGTAATAATGTTTTTTTGGCTGGAAAAAAAACCCCCAGGACTAGTGGCTTTCTAGAGTTTTTTTAGCTGTAAAAAAAACGCGCTGAAAAACGCAGCAAACACGGTAAAACGCTGCTAAACAGCGTTTTTGGACCTTTTTTGAGCAAAAAAAATTGGTAATAACCGCAAACACAGAAAAATGCTAATGTGAAAACACTAAAAAACACTGAAAAACTTGCGTTTTTAACATGACTTTACACAGCTAAAGCTACCAGCGTTATCAAACACCCCGTGGATGCATTAAGCTTTGACAATAAAACCTGGAAGCTGATTGGTTTCTCTATAGAGCTGCACTAGATTTTGCACTCTCCAGCTTTAGTAAATAAACCCCTTAGTGTCATACAACACCTATATACATTTATTTTTGTGGCTGTATGTTTTGCTTTATACAATAGACCAGTGGTCTCCAAACTGCGGCCTGGGGGCCAGATGTGGCCCTTTGCTTGCTTTTATCTGACCCTTGGGGCAATATTTCATCCACTGACACCAACAATGGGGCATAATTCCTCCCAATACACTGATGTTGGGGCACAATGACACTAATGATGGGGCACAGTTCCTATGAATGACACCAACGATGGGGTATAATTCCTCCCAATGACACCATTGATGGGGCACAATGACAATAATGATGGGGCACAGTTCCTATGAATGACACCAATGATGGGGTATAATTCCTCCCAATACACCAATGTTGGAGCACAATGACACTAATGATGGGGCACAGTTCCTATGAATGACACAAACGATGGGGTATAATTCCTCCCAATGACATCATTGATGGGGCACAATGACACTAATGATGGGGCACAGTTCCTATGAATGACACCAACGATGGGGTATAATTCCTCCCAATACACCAATGTTGGGGCACAATGACACTAATGATGGGGCACAGTTCCTATGAATGACACCAACGATGGGGTATAATTTCTCCCAATGACACCATTGATGGGGCACAATGACACTAATGATGGGGCACAGTTCCTATGAATGACACCAATGATGGGGCACAATTCCTCCCAATGACACCAATGATGAGGCATTGTTTATTCCCACTGATGTCGGGACATTTTTGATTCCCAATGGCCACAGTCTGGATCCCCTAAAGTCTGAAGAAAAGTAAACTGGCCCTTAGTTTAGACAGTTTGGAGACCCCTGCAATAGACCGTCAGTAATGTGCTAGGCGTGTGTGCTCTTTTACAGAGGTTGAGATCACGTCAAATGAAGGTGCTTAAAATAATTTTATTTGA